CCCTTTAATACAATTCTTCATGTTGTATTAAGTTATTTTGTGACTCCTTCATAACTGATGTTGCTACTGATAATCATAATGAAAATATCTGATACACGGGGTCTCTCTTATGTGACCCCTGTGAAAGGGTTGGTCGGCTCCCCAAAGGGTAAAGACCCACAGGTTGAAAACCACTGCTTTAGAGACAGAGTAAGGATGGCCCAAAGTGTGAGGGAAGGTATGCCTAGGTTCTGCGCAGGACCTGAAAGACAGAGATGAAAATGAAAAAGGAAATGTCGCGCCTCGCTGTCTCAGGCAACGAAGGAAAAGCTATTCTACTTTTCTCTTTGGCCTGGCTTAAGGTAAGCCTGTCTGCCTGCCTAGAAGTGCTCCAAACCGGAAACTTTTCCTTTAACGAACTTTATTCCTACGCTAACAATACTTCCCTGCCTACCCAAACACAAGCGCTTTGCCAGAAGTGACTATTTGGGTTTGGTTAAATTTGGTTCTGGTTTGTTTTTTTAAAGAGATATTTGCCAACAAAAAGTTCTCAAGTCACAACTAGAACTCACTTGGTTCCTTTCAGGTTTGTCTATAAAAGCAGAATATTTTTACTTAAAATCAGCACAGTGCTGTAGGAAGTTTGCTCTGTATTTATTGAAAACTCTCAAGCGCTGCCTAGTCCAGGCATTTATTTTACAGATGGGGAAACAATAACAAACAGCAAAGACCTCTGTTGTTTGGGGGGGAGGTATTCCAGAGGACGATGAGATGGATTACTAGGGAGTGACATTATTAGATTTATGAGTGCTTGTGGATGGACAGATGGACAGACAGACAGACAGACAGACAGACAGACAGACAGACAGACAGACAGACAGACAGACAGAGAAGTAACAGTGTGAGGGAGAGCTCCGAGGAGCAACCAGACCCGAGCACCAGAGGCAGACTTCATTTAGGGTCTCTGGAGAAAGCAGCCATAGCCCATATGCAGAGGAGCACACCTCTTCCTAACACTTATATTCCTCTGTTGAGGGAGATTTCATAGCTAGAGCTGAAGCCAGGGTTAGGGATTCCCAGACAGAAGGCAAGGAAAGGGACTGGAAAAAGAAGCCAGACTTCCATGTAAATTCACTCCCCAGATGAGACATCCTGGCTCCAAGATGGTCTGTGATGGAGGGACAATGCAATAGTGGAGTGCCTGTCTGGACCCGTCAAGGGACAAGGAGGCTGTTGCAGATAGAGTGGCCTGAGCAGAGCCTGGATTCTAGTATTGCATTCCTACAGCCTTGACCTTTGCCCTCCCAAAGCTGACAGTAGCAAGCTGAAGACCAAAATAAACATCCCACTGTTCCAGCCCTGAAATTACTTCTACACCCTTTCTAACAGCTCGCACTGCAGATTTCATGGGTCGTTAATCCGGCCAAGTGAGAACATTTTGTTCCAGTGGGAAGTTCTGTGGTCACTGTGAAATGTGACTTTAGCGTTTAGCTTAATTCCTTGGAGAACGAGGGGAACCAGAACAATTTGTCCAGCCTGTAGTCTAGATCTCAGACTATTCTCACGAGCAGCGTGACAGACTTTGAAGGGTGGGTGGTCTGGGGGAAGAGAGTAGGGTGAAAAAAGGGACAAGGGACTGGAGTAATAAAAGGAGCAATAGACAGGGCATGGTGGGAGGTGTTTTATACAAGAGTAGGTGACAGGCTAAATCCTGCCTTCTGGAATGTGAATAAATATTCATTTATGCCCATTGTCAGCTATTAGAAGTCTGGAAGGACGCCTCCTTTGACCGGCTCAGTGAATATTTCAAATGATCTTCAAAACTCTGAACAAAAGTACTATTGACTGAAGACACAGAAAACTAATTTTATGCCATCTTGACTCAATTACAACCAAGAATAATTGACTCCATCTAAAATTTCATGTTATATTCATGCCATACTTCTTAGCTATATCAGTTCATTTTCATATTCTCTTACATGTTTGGCTAACAAAGAAAGGATATTTGATTTAAAAACAAAGGAAAGAAAATAAAAATGCAAATTCTAATGGGGGAGACTGCATTTCAAACAAGGAGAATAATTATAACATAATAAGCTACTCTTCAAGCAATAAAGAATGATTGATGTAAAATATTTCTACCAGTAAACAAAAGATCTCTTTAAAATGAAAGTATAGCTATAATTTATATTTCTTGGTGCACACAAAAATATTTCCCAAATTATGTGTTATTAAGAAATTATAAATATGAGCAAAGTACAATCATATACAAATGTATTAAAATGTCATGACGATGTAACTATTTAGTATATCAACTGAATTTTTTTAAAAAAAGTTGTCACACCAATGTGAGAAGTAAAAACAAACACCATATCAGAGAAAACATTAGAGATTCCTGCTTGACTCTTTTTAGAAAGATACAGAAAAGTAGTTGAAGCGGTTTGTATGGGCAAATCTGTTGTGTGTATGCCACAGAGGAGCATGTCTCTATTTGGCACACCTGTCTGTGTTTTCCTGATAGTACCGTTGAAGGTCCTACTCCACCTGGCCTTATCTGTGTCTCATACACAGCTCCACCTTTAACCATTGCTCTGGCTTCCCAGGACATGGCCAGCCATGGTTATCCAGGACTATGCCATTGTCCTCATCTCTACTGAGAACATTCTGCTTCAGGTTACATCATGGTTCTTCCCATCCTTCAGGGCTCTCTGAGGCTCTTCCTGACATCCTACTTAAAGCAGCAGACCTTCCCTCCCTCACAGAACATCCACGGGTGTGTGTCCATACCGTTGGTTATCAACTCAAAGGCTAGAGCAACCTCTCAAAGGGTTAATCAAGAGGTGCAGCTTCAGGGGCAGTAAGCAGCCTCTCTGCACAGGGCTTGTGCTCACTCCCATGTTTTGTTCTGACTTAAAATTCTTCATACGTTGTCCTTGAACCTCTGTTTCCAGTGTGGTACAGTAAAACAATGGCACACAAGCCAAAGAGAAAAGCAATGGTTCAAGACCTGGCAGCAGCCAATACACAAAGGGCTCCAACCGAGTCCCAGCTGAGACAAGATGAAGAACAGTCTCTCATCCCAGGTACCAAGATCTCTGGAATAGCTGACCTGGGACCTGGGCCTAGACTAGCAATGGCGACAGCAACAACTGCAGTTATAAGAGCAATGGACTGGTGACAGCTTTATGGGGACCAGCATGTCTTGCAGCAGGAAGCCTGCTTACTCATCCATCCCAAGGCCTGGGCTAGCATGTCTGTACAAAGGCGAGCTCTCCCTCATGCTGGAGCCCTGGGATTCAAGTGCCAGCACTTAGGTGATGAACTATTAGTGAGCTACTACACTGGCCTGGAAGCAGACTACCTTGGACCATCATTGGAAGAGTTCAGCATCTCTGTTTTTTAATTAAAATTTTTTTTTATTTCATATGCATTGGTATTATGCCTGCTTATGTCTGTGTGAATGTGTCAGATCTTAGAGTTACAGTTATGAGCTCCATGTGAGTGCTGGGAATTGAACCCGGGTCTTCTGGAAGAGCAGTCAGTGCCCTTACCACTGAGCCATCTCTCCAGCCTCAGCCCCTCTGGTTTTAAAAACTCTTGAGCATATGTCAAAAGTATACAGAAACTAAATGATACCCTCCCCCATGAAAAATACTCCTCTTTTTGCAGTTTGCAAGCTTATAGTCTTATGTCTCACTATTTCTTTTATTTAGTTTTATATATAATAAAATACTTAAGAGAGCAGAGCTTCTATTTTAATACCTCTGGTGGCACCTTCCTCTCCATTTTGAACATTTTCATTTTGCCCTGATCCCTGGTAACTATGCAGCTGGCCCTCAGAGTAAGAATTTGAAACTTGTCATCTGAAAAAAAAAAACAACAACAAAATACTCTAGTCAGGGATCAAAAACTGGGGGGGGCTAGAGAAAACTCGGCCTCCAACCATGGTGCTTCTGTTGGCTTGAGAGGGCTACTAGCTGACAAGAGAAGCAAACTGTCTTCCTTTTTCATCTAGATTTTACAAAACTAAAATTGACACACTTCTAAGAAAACATTAAATGGGTACTTGAATTCTAAATGCAAAATTCTGTCATCCCTTCTTAACAAGGATCTAGGCAAGACTGGAGTTAAATGTACAAACAGTTTTAAAATCGGATCGACTAACGCATTGAAAAGTTGAATTTGACAAAAACTAAATGGTAGGATACTGCAGTAGGCAGCAGGCTTCTAAGAGCTAAGCGTGGTCACTGGCACATGCTTAGGAAGTCTTTTCTTTTAGGACTTATTGCTATTTTTAAGTGGGTGTATGTGTGTGTCTATGTGTGGCTATGCACATAGGAGTGCAGGTGCCCTCTAAGACTAGAGGTGTCAGATTCCCCTGGAGCTGGGATTACAGGTGGTTTTGAGCCACCTGATGCGGGCACTGGAAAGTAAACTTGGCTCCTCTTGCAAGAATGGGACGTGCCCTTAACTGCTGAGCCATCTCTCCAGCTCTGACATCTCATTTTTACTCCCTAGTCACCATGAGGGGACAAAGCTTCCATCTGAGGCTTTGCTGTGCCACACGTGCCTATAATGACATGCCACCATGACCAGCAACAACTGTACCAACCAACCAGAGACCTCAACCTCAAAAACTATAAGTTGGAATACACTTATAGTGAAACATGCAGTCTCATGTAGCCCAGGACGGCCCTGAATTGCTTGCTCCTCTTGGGTACTGGTGTTGCTGTCATGTGCCACCATGTCCAGGTTTTATTGTGGAAATTGTCTGAGACAATGTTCTAAGTAGCTGAAGGTGAACTTGAACTGTTGATCTTCCTCTTTCCCTCCTGCGTTCTCAGATGACACGCATGCATCGTCATGCCTGGTTCCTGTGGTCTGGACCCAGGTCTTTGTGCATGCTAGACAAGCACTCTGCCAACTGAGCTACACCCCAGCCCTGGATCTTAATTCTTCAGAAGGTCTCAATGAACACAGCACAGAACCTAAACATTTGGATTACCACTAGGATTCCAGTCTGTAGTTAAGACACATTTTGCTTGGGTGGGGGACTCATTCAAAGAAAGTACCACAAGCACCCCTAAAGAAGAACTGAGTTCCTTTGCAGTGTTTCTTCAGAATAACTCCTTCCTCGGAAGAGGCCGTCTAAACAAGTTCCTGCTCTATTCTATCTATGTTGGTTATGTGTGACATTCCTTCATGCATTTGTGTCCATGTGTTCAGTTGTGTACATCTGTATCTGTGCATCTTATATGTGTACACATTAATCGCAGCATAGCATAGCTGTTGCTGCTATGAGTGGTTGATAAAACTGATCATCTGAGTAAGGGGGAAAGAATGCATAGTCCCAGTGTTGTCCTTCATCTTCATCAAATTGCCTTGCTTTTGTTTTCAGCATGCTGGCTTCTTATCTCCTGGTCTCTTGTTTGCAACATATGAGAAGGAAGGCCTTTTAGGTTTTATTCATCTCCATAGTTCAAGACCTGGAACATAAAAATTCTCGATAAAACTTTTTCAAAGACATAGGGAAAAAGAAAGGGGGGGGAACAAAAGGAAAAGAAAAGGGGGGGTTGACTTCTATGTCGGGGCTGAGGTAATATTCCTCTTCTGAGAAAAAAGTCTGCTGGCGGGTCAGTCTGCACTGAACCCAAACTAGGCGAGAGAGTCAAGAATAATTTAAACACTTTCCTTCCCTCCACCTGAGCTGCTTTTCATTCCCATCTGAAGCCAAACATGTGGGAGTTTTTCCCCAGACCAGCACATTCCCCCGCTTATCAGATACCAACAAACATCTCTACACTCCTTTCTGTTCTGATACTAACTACCCAACAGTATTTCAGCGCCCACGTGGTAAAGCTCAGTGCTTGAGACCATCGCTACGGCAGTCACCACGTCAATCGCTACAACAGACACCAGGTCAACCGCTATGGCAGACACCACATCAATGTCCTGTTGCCTCTGCTACTTTGAGCAGGTGAGCTAACAGTTGAGGGCTCCCATTATCCTCTCCTCATGGCCAGCCACTACCTAGCACAGCACACAGAACTGAAGAGAATGGCTTTCTTGGAACTGAGTGGAATCGATAAGGGGCCCAAGCACAGCAACAGGGCAGTATAGCTTCCAGGACCTCTCTGGGAGTGTCACCTCCACAGTCTCCCATGCCATTCACCAACCCAGAAGGTCTCAGGAGTGGCGTAGTTTAAAAGAGATTTTTTTTAATGCATGCATGATGACATTATTGGTCATTAGTGTCTAAATTCAACTTTTCAACTCGCTAAGATCATGCCTAGTTCTTCTGAAAACCAGAAATCATCCTAAAACTAGTTAGGTGCTACAAGCCACCAATCACATCACTTGCAAACAAAGTATACTTGTAGAATTCTGAGTATTCCATGCGTTTAAAGTTCTGAGTGCCAGGAAATGGAGAAAACTACCAAATATCTGTTTCTGTTTTCCCATATCCTCCATCTGGTCATTAATTCCAGTTGCTGATTCCCTCCACCCTCACCTTAATTCCCTGATCAATACTCTTTTTTTTTTAGTATATTTTAAAAAATCCCAGTTTCCCCTCCCTCCTCTTCCTACTCCCCTCTCCTCCCTCACCTCCTATCTGCTCCTCAGAGAGGGTAAGGCCTCCCCTAGGAAGTCCACTAAGTCTGTCCCATCATCTTGTTGAGACAGGACCAAGGCATCTCTCCACCCCCACACCCCTGTGTCTAGGCTGAGCAAGGTATCGCTCCATATATAGAATGGGCTGTTTGGCATATACCCAAAGGAGGCACATTCATGCCACAAAGACATTTGCTCATCTATGTTCATAGCAACATTATTTGTAATAGCCAGATCTTGGAAACAACCTAGATGCCCCTCAACTGATGAATGGATAAAGAAAGTATGATATATTTACACAATGATAACAATGACATTCAAAAATTCACAGGCAAATGGACAGAACTAGAAAAACCATCCTGAGTGCGGTAACCCCAAACCAGAATGCTCACAATATTGACATGCTATGCAAATACATCTCCAAGTCACCGATCCCAGCCACAGTTGCTCCTTCTACATAGCATTCTTGGAATCAACTAAGAAACTTTGAGTTTTGTTTTAGTTCAGCAAGCGCTATACTATAGCATCAAATTAAAATGCTATGTCTCTATCAGCGTGTCTGTGTCTCTCTCCACTTCCTTCTTTGACCACCTTTCTCTACACTGTCCACATGACAGTTTGTCCTGGGCTTCATAGTGACTAAAGTATGTAAAATGTAGGTTTATACTTGACATCTTTGAGGCTAAGAGCCATTGTTTACAGAGATGTTTTGTGTTAGTCACCTATGACATCACTGAGACAATCAGGGTTATTTCAGCTCAGGCTCTCAGAGGTTTCAGCCCATGATCAACTGACACTTTGCGTTGGGCCTGTGATAAGGTGGTCTACCATAGCACTAGCATGTGGTAAAACAGAGATGCTCATCTTGGGCCAACCAGGAAGAGAAGTGGCCAGTGTCCCTAGCTCTCTGTCAAGGGCATGTCCTCAAAATTCTACCTTCCTTCCAATAGGTCCCACGCTCTGAAGCAGTGGCTCACAACCTGTGGGGTGTGACTCCTTTGGGAGATGAATGATCCTTTCACAGATGTTGTCTAAGACCATCAGAAAACAAGAGATATTTATATTACGAGTCTTAACAGTAGCAAAATTACAGTTATGAAGCAGCAATGAATATAATTTTATGGGTGGGGGTCACCACAGCATGAGGAACTGTATTAAAGGGTCGCAGCATTAGGAATGTTGGGGGCCACCGATCTAAAGGTTCCTCCCTCTGCCGGCTGTGTCACAAATTAGTGACTAGGCATGGCCCACTTGTACTTGTAGGGAATATTCAAAGTCCAATCTACAGTGTTGTTGTTTTTTTTTACTGTAAACATTTAAAGTGTATGTGACGCTTTGGGGCATTTCTTATTTTTAAAGATAACAGAAGTCTTAAGAAATAAAATTAGGGCTTGGAAAATGTCTCAGCAGTTAAAAGCACTGGGAGCTTTCAGGGGACCCAGTTCAGCTCTCGGTGCCCACATGCTAGCTTAAGATGTTCCATAACTCCAGCTGCAGGGGGTCCAGTGCCCTCCCCTAGTCTCTGTGGGCACCAGGCACAGACAAACTACACAGACACACATGCAGGCAAAACAACCGTACACATAAAATAAAAATGAAATTGTCTGCGGCTTTCTAACATCTAAAAGGTCTTAAGTGGTAGAGAACTTTGGCATGTAGTAATCGACCTATGATTTCTAGTTTGGAAATCTGGTTTAATAATGTCTAAGCTAAGGTGATAATCCCCATCCTGCCTAGTGTTGTTGTTAAAAGCAGTGATCAGAGAACTACCTTTAAAGCTCTGTTAGGGCCTCCACAGCAAGTTTTGTTAGGAGCAACTCATTGAGACTCATGAATTGGGGGCTAACACTTCCACTGGCCAGCTGTTATGACCTATGCCACCAAGTCCCTGGCCCAGGTTGTAAGCAGGACTCTCCCAGCTGTAGCCTTAATCCTTGCCAGTTATGCAGTAGAAACTAAGGTTATCAATACCACTTCACTTTTGGAAGCTGCTTCCTTGTTTATAACAAAAGGGAAAACCAAACTGGTTTTTCTGAGTATCGAGTGTATGATATGGAATTAGAAGCTTACCACTAACACACTCAGGAACCTGGCCACCAGGTTAAGCCAAAAGAAAGGGAGCAGTTATGTTTATGAGAAATGGCATTTTGCAAGTCAGTGGGTAGAAAAAAAGATTTGTAGACTTCTAATTAATTTGGGTGGCAAGTAACTCATATAAACACTCCAGCCTGATCAAGTACAGTCAGTGTGTATCCTTAATGCATCATCCAAAGCACTAGCCCCAAAGAGAGCAGAGCCAAAAGGGAGAAGAATTTCAGAGAAGCAGTGGATTTGGGCAGATAATGAGGCAAGGGGAAAAAGAATGCATATGTCTAGTTTGACAGCTAAAGAATAAAAAAGAGGGAGAAGGTCCATTTTAAAACCTCTTTGAAGCAAATAGTAATGTCACCACTGTCTTTTTACTGTTTTATGTTCTTAAAATCTCCCTTACAGCCCAGACTGGGCTGGATCTGCAGTGTAAGCCAGGCTTGCCCTGGACATTGCAGTCCTTAGCATTAATTTCTCAAGTGACTGCATTGCAAAGCATGCTCTGTCATGTGCCTCTATCGGCCACATGTGAGCCTATTCCTTCCCCAGTTGCTCCTCCTCAAAACTTACTGTTGCCACAATGCCATGAGATCTTACAAGATAACACCAGAAAAACTGGATTCCCTCCTCTCTTGGGCTTCTTGGTCTCACTAATAAAACAATTTTAGGATGGACTCAAAGAGAAGCTCAAGAACACAGTTATTAGAGTTTAAAAGAAAAACTCCCAGGGCAGGCAAACTGTCCACTTTGGTAGCTTCCAAGAGGAAGAAAACGGAAAAGGGGAGGGGGGAGAGCTATGCCATTTAAGCTGGTCCAGAGGTCTGACCCAGGGGACAGGTAGACACGTGGTGGTGGTGAGAACTTGAGAGTCATGAAGCCCAAAACACCAGCAGAAGCATACTTGGATCTGGCCAGCATCCAAAAGAAAGGGACAGAAAAAAGCAGAGTGTCACTTTTCTGGTGGCCTCAGAAAGGTGGGGAGATCCTGCTGCACTCATGGGGGCTCCGAGGGACTGTGCTCAGGGGTAAGAATTTGGGGTGAGAGGCCAGGTGGGGTGGTGACACACATCTTTAATCCTAGCACTTGGGAGGCAGAGGTAGATGGATCTAAGGAAGTTCAAGGCCAGCCTGATCTGCAGCATGAGTGCCAGGACAGGCTTCAAAGATGCAGAGAAACACTGTCTTGAAAAAAAAAAAACAAAAATTCGGGGTGAGAAAATTAGTGTCTCATTAAAGGATTGATTCCTGCCTCTTTAGCATGAGTTGAGGTGAATCCACCTTCCTGGGGTGTTTCTTTAGGCAGGTGATTGACCTGACCCAAATGCAATGGTAGGTCCCACCCAGGCCAGAGAGTCCTTTTTTGACTTCCACACTTTTCCTTAATGGGTCTACATTCTAATGATGCCATGGATTAGGCTTATCCCTAATTCCATATCAACTAATAAATAATAGCTATGCAGAACACACAATTACATTCAGACAATTACATCAACTAACACAGAGAGCTAAACTTCATAAATTGTGGATGAATTACATGATCATGTAAGTAGAGCACGATAAATAATCACATAAACTAATCTTTATTTTTCATGACTGTTGTCAAGGAGCCCCAGATCACCTTAATTCTTAAGGGAAAAAAAGCAAGATTACACCATCTGCTGTCATTCTGATCAAGGCTGGAGTCCAAGGAGAATGCCTGGAGGATGCTAACCCCACCCATCCATCATTGTCTGTGGTTAAAAAAGTGCAAATTGGACGTCAGTGGGCAAAGTCCCAAGCCCAAACATGCTTGGTTTGAATGACGAAATACAGGTTCTGCATGGACTTCTTTTAAAAGTGGACTGTCTAACAAACTGTCTACCTTGGCTTCTCTCTGGCCCCACTTTAAACACATTGGTCCGTTTCATTTTCTTAGATTTCCTGCTTAGCCCCAGGAGACAGGAATTTTCCAGACCTGCTGAAAGAACCAAGGCCCCGAGGCTGGAGTCATCTTTGTGGGGATTTCCTTTATTTACAGCACAGTTTAAAACCTTTTCCTGTTTCTGAGGTTTTGATCTTGGTATCAATATAATATGGCTGGCTCAACAGAAATAGACTCTGAAGATAGTCTTTAAATGTGCACTAATAATATAGACAAAGCAGAGCCAATGTACATGTCATGATTGAAAAAATAAAGAAAAAAGTCATAAATACCCCCAGGAGACCCAAGAAACTCACTATAAACAAATCTTCGAGTAGAGGAGATAGCTCACACAAAACACACAAATCTGCAGTTTAAGAGAAACCAAATGGCCGGGCGTTGGTGGCACACGCCTTTAATCCCAGCACTCGGGAGGCAGAGGCAGGCGGATCTCTGTGAGTTCGAGGCCAGCCTGGTCTACAAAGTGAGTTCCAGGACAGCCTCCAAAGCCACAGAGAAACCCTGTCTCGAAAAACCAAAAAAAAAAAAAAAAAAAGAGAAACCAAATGTCATTAAGCTCAAAGACATGAAGAACTTACTTTCTGGCAAATTCCAAAACAAGACAGTTTTACATAAACAAATTGTATACATGTATATAAACTGAAATGTATCTTCAGAAACAAAACCTGTTAAAACCTAGGAAGATATCTGCCCAAACTTTAGTCTGCAATTCTAGATCAGAAATTTTCATAGTCAGATGGTGTGGCACAGGCCTCCTTTACTCCCAGCACTTGGGAGGCAGAGGCAGGCAGATCTCTATGAATCTGAGAACAGCCTGACTTACAAAGCAAGTTCCCCACCAGCCAAGGCTACACAGAGAAACCCTGTCTTGAAAAAACAGGGGCAAGTGTGGGGAAGGAGCTAGTGCTAAATTCACTCCAAAAATCCAGACTCAGCTTGTATGAGGCTTAGCCTAGACAGTTGTTTTCAAAAGTTTCTCATGTACACCTAAAACTTAAAGTATGACATCACATAGTTTGGGATCCCAGCACTTGGGAGGAGAAGGGAGAAGGATCAGGAGTTCAAGGTCTTCCTTAACAATTATGGAAGAAAGTAAGTAAATAAATAATAGAACATGATCAAAAAATGAAGCAATCCTATAAACATTGCATTGACTGTCATTAAATACTAGGACTACTGCACCTTTAAGAACCAACCACATGGGGGGAGGGCTCGGGAGGAAGGGAGGGAATGGGAGAGGGACCTGGAACTGACTTGTGAAGCAACCTTGTTTCTTATCTAAATTTAAACTGGAAAATTAAAAAATAAATAAATAAATAAATAAATAAAATAAAAAAAAGAACCAACCACATGAGCTAGTAAGAAGGGTCAGCAGGTCAACATGATGCCCCTGCCACCCACCAAACAACAACATTTAGGTCAGCATCACACACAATGGCGGGACCCCAGGAGTACAGCACTTATGACATTTTAGCCCCATGATTAGGATAGGCATGCTCTCTTGTTCACACAATGACACAACTAAGTAACGTCTCATTTCCAGAACATACCCCCCATCATTATGCCGCACTCAACCGCAGTGACTTGTGGTCTTATTGGACAGACACAAATTATTGGAGAGGGAAGGAGAGTAAAACCCATTGATCAGCAGGGCTGAACATGGCTCTTTTCCCCCTCACATCACTTCCCACAGCTGCCAAGGTTGAGAGACTTGATCCTGAAACTTTCAGAACAAACCAGAGAGGAACTGTAAGAGCCACAAAAGACAGATGATTAACAGCTGGAAGGGCTGGGAAGCAGTCGTTTCCTTTTTAAAGTAAAACAAGCATATTTCAGAGACTGGTTTTCTATTTCAGCTGTAATCAGCTACTCAGCGGTTTAAACAACACAAATCTATTATTACATAGTTCTGTGGGTTAGGAATCTGACATGGATCCCAGAGGACTAATATCAATGCGGGAGTCGGCAATGCTCCTTTCCCTGGTTCTGGGGTTCTTTTGCAGCCTCTCTAGTTCCTAGCTCGTGGCTCCCCTCATCTGCCTTCAAGCACACTGCTCAGGCTACCAGATGGCTGTCTCCTGATTCTCTTTTCCACTTGGAAAAAAAAAAGTCATCTGTCTGGTTTTCGTCACTTTGTTTTGCCTTCTCTTCTACTTATGATTTTAGCGGAAACTCAAGGTTCTTTCCCCATTTTTTTTTTTTTTTTTTTTTTTTTTTTTGTTTTTTGAGGCAGGGTTTCTCTGTGACTTTGGAGGCTGTCCTGGAACTAGCTATTGTAGACCAGACTGGTCTCGAACTCACAGAGATCCACCTGCCTCTGCCTCTGGAGTGCTGAGATTAAAGGCGTGTGCCACCACCACCCGGCCTTTCCCTACATTTAATGTTAAATGACTGGCAACTTTACTTCTTCTGCCCCTTAATTTTGCTTTGTTATGTGACCTAACAGTCATATAGCAACAGCAATGCAGAGACAAGTCAAACTATACTGCCAATCACATTGCAGCCCGTGAACACCCAACTCTCAGTTGGGTCAAGACTGACTACTATCTCAAGCCCAAGAACTAGGCATCCTTGGTTGGAGGAGGTGGACATCAGCAAACCTTGAAGTTTTGCTTCCTTAAAAAATGAGATAAAAGCCGGGCATTGGTGGTGCACGCCTTTAATCCCAGCACTTGGGAGGCAGAGGCAGGCGGATCTCTGTGAGTTTGAGGCTAGCCAAGTCTACAGAGTGAGTTTCAGAACAGCCTCCAAGACAATACAGAGAAGCCCTGTCTCGAAAATTTTTTAAAAATGAGCTAAAAATCTTCATTTAGCACATGAAATTCGGAACCATGATCCAGTACATCTGGTTTTTACACTGTCTCTGCTTTTATTTTTAGAAATATTATATTATTTATAATTATGCACAAGTATGTAGTCTATGTTTGGGCATGTGAATGGCAGTATCCACAGAGGCCAGAGGTGTTGGAGTTGGGAGTTACAGGTAGTTGTGAGCCAACCAACATGGATGTTTGAACCCAGGTCAAATTTAAGAGCAATACTTGCTCCTAACTGATGAGACATCTCTCTAGCCTCTATGCTTTTAAATTATCAGCTCTTCATTTGATAGCATCATCACTTTGAACAGTCTTGTGTAAAATTCTTAAATGTATCAAAACTCATATTTAACCATGTGCTCTGGATTGTAAAAGATGGATTATTTACATCTATGTCTACCAGTTCAACAAAAGTACACACAAGTGCTAACCCCTATTGAAATTTTAATTCATCTGGAAGTTAATCAACATCACTGTTTTGTAAAGATACATGACTGCAGTAACTGCCCAAGGCATGTTTTCACCAAGTATAGTTTCCTCTCCTCCATACCTGCCCCATGGCAGACATTACTAATCAACCAGGTGTAATTTCAAAATCCTTCATAGCGCTTGCTAGGTGATCACCATTAGGAATAATCAATCAGAACATGCATGCAAACTGAGCTTTGTTTTTCTTTCCACATAAAACAAAACAAACAAACAAAACCTACAACAGGAAGAGATTCTCCCAGAGCCTCTTCTATGGCTGCTGTTATTCTAAAACAAAGCACAGTGGTATTTTATAAGTATATTATGCAAGTAGTACATGATCATGATGAAGAAATTAAGAGGAAAAAGAGAAACAAATTAAACCCACATATAATTATACCCTCCAGAAATAAATTTTCTGACAGATATGCTACCATTTGTCCTAGTTTCTTTTCCTGTCCCTGTGGCAATGTATTCTGCCAAAAGCAACTTACAGGAGAAAGGGTTTATTCAACTCACAGTTTCAGGTTACAGTTCATCATAGCAATGATGTTACAGCCTCAGGAGCTTGAGGGAGCTGGTCACATTGCATCTGTAACCAGGAACAGAAAGCAATGAATATATGTATACATGCTATCACTTAAGCTCACTTGATCTACTCTTACACAGTTTAGGATCCCCTGCCTAGGAATGGTGCCACCCATGGTGGATGGTTCTTGCCACCTGAATTACCACAGCCAAACAACCCTCATATGTATTTTCTGAGGTCCAACTCCCCAGTAATTCTAGATTTTTGTTGAGCTAACAATTAACAGTAACCATCACAATAATCACTTATTCATTCATTCATTCATGAATTCAATGTATTTTTATTGAGCACCCATGTAAGTCATTCCTCTAGGCTTTGAGGGTATGTCATTAATAAAGCAGACACACAAAAAAATTATACCTACAACAAATTCAGCTATATACAGAAAACATTTCTAAAGTCAAATATGATCATATTTTTATACTTGGGGTGTAATTGCTGGTTTTTTTCTAGGTCATAATTTTTGGATGTATAGCTTTAATCATGGACTCATGTGGTTTTCTCAACAGGCTTAACTGAACTAAGAGCTAAGATGATCACTGCATGCTGCATCGCAGACAGCCTAATCCGACTGCTCTTTCTATAGTTTGTTGCTGTGTGATCAAAAGAAACCCTCCCCACCCCCTGCCCCAAATAGATAATTTGGTGACCACTGTAGACCACAAAAGCCTACTTGGGACACTAAAGATAATACCATTCCTGTTCCAGGAACCTATTACTGCATAATGTGTTCTAACGTCGTAGTTTAAAATTACAGCAGCTTGTGGGAGGAAAGGTTTTATTCAGCTTACACTTTCACATCACTGTTAGTCATCAAAGGAAGTCAGAATAGGAGCTCAAACGGAGGCAGGGACTGGTGCAGAGGCCATGGAGGGTGATGCTTTCTGACTTGCTCCCCATGGCTTCAACAGGCCCTCTCTCTTTCAAAACAAAAGAAGGCTATATTTGTTTTATGCATTAGTGCTCTGTTATGTATACCTGCATGCCAGAAGAGAGCATCAGATCCTCCTGTAGATGGTTGTGAGCTGCCATGTGGTTGATGGAAATTTAATTTAAGATCTCTGGAAGCACAGCCAGTGCTTTTAACCTTTTGAGCTATCTCCAGCCCCCTCGACTTGCTGTGTTGTAGAACCCAGGACTACCAGCCCAGGGGAGGCCTCCACCCACAATGCACTGGGCTCTTCCACATCAGTCACTAGGGAGGAAAATGCCCTACAGGCTTATCTGCAGGTCGATATTACGGAGGTATTTTCTCAACTGAGGTTCCCTCCTCTGAGATGAATCTAGCTTGTGCCAAGTTGACAAATTAGCCAGCACAACTGACCCTTTGTCAGCATGAGACACAAACACTTCACTGTATGCCCACGATTATACATTATTATTGGCGTTACAAAATAAAACATTTTACAAACTTAAAAAGTCACAGTCTCTACAAATGCAAACACCTTAAAATCTAGTCTCATAAAAATCCAAAATCTCTTTATAAATTCATTCAACTGTGGGCTCCTGTAAAATAAAAACTAAGTTAAACATTCCCTTATTCCCTTATTTCAAGAGGGAAGAGGCAGGACACAGACACAATCTGAACAAAGGAAAATCAAATTCCTGGTGTGTAAATAATTCAGTGACCAATGTCTGGGATCCACTCACAGTGTTCTGGGCTCCTCCATAGGGCTTGGGTCACCTCTCCATCTCCACTCGCTGTAGCACACACAGCTTGTCCTCTGGGCTCCAGCTGACTCCACTCCACTGCTGCTGCTGTTCTTGGAGGTTATCCCATGGTCCTGGCATCTTCCAAATACTAGGGTCTTGTGCTGCAACTGGGATGCACTTTCACCTGGGGTCTCTGCAGGGACTCCAGCCCTGACACGAAGTTGCCAAGCCTCAGCTGCTCTCCATGACCCCTTGATACCGTCAACACCAGTACCACCTGGATGACTCGCACATCACCAAGTTCAGCCACAAGTGCAAGGGACAACTGTGACCACCTCAGGAACATAGCTTCTGTGTGCTCTCAGGAAACACTTCCCAGAAGATTTCACCTCACTGAGGCTGGTCTCTTAATCATTGCTCATTCCAGCTAACCAGCATTAAGTATCCCAGTAAAGCAAGGGTTTCTCTTTAGGGGTTCTGGTGTCTTGTTAACCACAGCCGATCCTTCAGCCCTAGCTAACCAATGACAAAGAAACTTTACTCAAAATAACCAAGGGCCCTGACAGGGTCTTTAAGTGACTTTCAAACTGCCCTCTGGAACTTCCCAAGCCAGGCCTCCAGGATCTGCATTTCTCTCTACATTCTTATCTTCCAAGCTCCCACACAACAGCCCACCAAGCTTTGAACACTCAAAGGCTTTTCTAGCCCAATGTTCCAAAGTCAGGTCTGTCACGACAACATCCTGCTATCTTGGTATCAATTTCTGTCTTATTTAGGGTGTCTATTGTTCTGAAGAAACACCATGACCAAAGCAACTTGGGAAGGAAAGGGTTTGTTTGGCTTACATTTCCACATCGCTATTCATCATGGAAGGAAGTCAGGACAGGAACTCAAACAGTGCAGGAACCTGAAGGCAGGAGCTGATGCAGAGACCAGGGAGGAGTTCCCTTTTTCCTGCTTAGCAGGCTTTCATATAAAATTCAGGATCACCAGGCCCAAGATGGCACCACCCACAATGCATCGGGCCCTCCCACATCAACCGCTAACTTAGAAGATTCCCCACAGGTGTGACCGCAGCTCCATCTTATGGAGGCATTTTCTTATTTGAAGCTCCCTCCTCTCTGATGCTAGCTCTTCAAGTTGGCACACACCTAGCCCCACAATTAACAGTTCTTAATCTGGGGTGCACTTAGAGCAGCTGGACAACCTCTCCTGAGCTTTCTTTCATTCCTGGTTTGGTTTTGCTGCTAGAAGCATCTGGAAGTCTTTCTTGTTCGAATCCCTATTGATTCTGACAGCTCACCAGGAGGTCAGCCAAAGCTGTGGTCTGAAATGCCTACCCACAGCCCGGTAAGTGTTCTCACATCGAGCGTGGTGGCTGGGTCTGAAGCCCTAAGTACAAGCCACTTCACCTTGATGACTTAAGCTATGAGGTCACACAGGGTTACTTAGCATGGTCACAGTTGTCAAATGCAAGAAGAAGAAAACCTGAATCCCACCTTCTGATAGCAGGAGTGTTGGCAACACATTGTGCAGGGAAGGGTCCAGTGCAGTGACATCTCTGGGACAAGCAATTGCTACATACCTCATCCCCTTTATACCTTCATCTCCATGGTGAAAGTCAAGATGGAAAAACTCCTAAACATTGTAAACTTTAGAGGAGAATTGTATCACTGTCAAGTCTCTGGAATAGCACATTTCAAGGATCTTGTATAGTAAAGCCAAACCACGCCTGATAATTGAGTAGCTAATTTCCCTCCCTCATAGATACATACAAAATATTGGTTGGTGAGAAAACAGCTTGCTTAAGGTTATTCCTTGCAAATTTGCAAAATTTGCCAGAAGAAACACTATTTCCTGTGTCTGATTTGTGGGGATACCATTAACTAACACTGACAGCTAAAGCTACTAAAATTATGTTAGCCGATGTTTAAGAAGGCTGTCAAACAGATTACGTATTTGTGGTCTGTCTAGGTACCCTGATAGGAAGGGATGTACCCATCTTATCCTATCCACTTAGTCTCATCAGTCGGGAGAATAGGAGGCAGAGAAGATAAGAAAACAAATTAGAGTTTAGAGGAATTGCTTACTAAGCTCAGTACACTAGGTAACTAACCACAGCTTACAACAGGACCATGCATTCATCACTTGATAAAAATCGACCTGCAAAATGTGAGCTATCTGTGCACCACATGCTCAACTATGTGAACTCAGCCAATTGCTTCGTCTTGATAGAAAGGACCAGAAGGTGGGACAGCTAAACAGGTGAGAGAGGAAATCACAAGCTGGGAGCCCTGTTTTATTCCCTCTTGGCCTTTTCCCCTCGGGCTCTGCTTTGGTTTGGGCTCCGCTGCTTAGAGAAGAGGACTGCTTTGCTGGCCTCAGGAACCCACTCCCCAGGCACTGCAAACCCCACCATTGTTTCTCCAGATACTTTAAGTGTATGGTCTCTGTAACAGTAGGTTAAGCGCCCTTAACGTCTGTTGTACAAAGTTTTACTCTTTTCACTTTTTGGCTCTTTTGTGGGGCCACCACCCTGATCCCAAGTAAATCACACACAGAGGCTTAGTCTTAGTTATGAGTGCCCGGTCTTAGCTCAGCTTGTTTCTAGCCAGCTTTTATCTTAAAATTGACCCATCTACCTTTTCCCTCTGGGCTTTTATCTTTCTTGCTTCTGTAAATCTCACTTTCCTTCTTACTCTGTGAGTGGCTGGGTGGTCGGCCCCTGCTGTCCTCCTCTCCTTGTTCCCTTGCTGCTCCTCTTCCTCGTTTCTCCTTTCTATTTATCCTCTCTGCCTGCCAGCCCCGCCCGCCCTTGCTCCTGCCTTGCTATTGGCCGTTCAGCTCTTTATTAGACCATCAGGTGTTTTAGACAGGCAAAGAATCACAGCTTCACAGAGTTAAACAAATGCTGCATAAACAAAAGCCACACACCTTAAAATAATAATCTGCCACAAAAGTCTGTCGTGGCTTGTATTGGTTGTCCACTTGACAGACTCCAGAATTGTCTTGGAGACAAATCTCTTGGCATGTCTGTGAGGGATTATGCACACTGGGGAGCTGAACACCAGCAGAGTTTCCTTCTACCTAACTGTGAACACAGTGTGACCAGTCGCCCCAAGCTCCCATAGCCATGACTTTCCCACCCTGACAGACTGTATTCTCCAACTGTGTGCCAAAATAAACCTTTCTTCTATGTTGGGAAAGATCCCTGAGTCCTTGGGATGGCAAAGGACAGCTGTCCCTGGCTGAGATATCACCTGCTCTCTCTCACAGAGCTTTTAGGAGCTTTTTTTTTTATTTACCTTGAAGAACCTTCCAGGCACCTTCTAGCCATGAACTGATTAGGATGCATTTAATAGCTTACATGCAACGGTCCAGATATCATACTAAGTGTTGGGGGATAGAGTAGAGACCACAGAAAGGCACAGCCCCTGCCCTCATGAGATGTAACTAATTATTATGGGGAGTGTCATTGTCATAGGTGACACAAATATAAGGCAAATGCTATATACTTTAGACTTCTTTGCATCCAAGTGGCTCACCCTGCTCATATCACATAAGCCAATGGTGAGGGGGGTGGTTGACTCATCTAGTTTAGAAGCCAAGGGCCAGCTGCAGGGCAGGCTGGTATACAGTCACCACCGAGAGACCTGGTTCCTCCGACTTCTGCACTACCTACCTTCCTTTGTGTTCGTTACCATGGTCTAATTGTGAGGTCAGCAGAATCTCTTTCTCAAGTGCTTTGAGTATGACTCAAAATAAATCACACACGCACTTCTCAGAGACTCCGAGCCGGTGCAATGTGGTTCTCTGACTGCGCAGGCCTAAGTCGTACGCTCATCACGGTAACTGAATCAGCTGCCAGGAGAAGCCAGGGCAAATGGGTCGGTCCCTAGAGGAGGTGGCAGTGTCTTACAGAGGGAAGAGGAATGGACATTGGCCACCAAACACGCCAGTTGTTGCTCACGCCAGTGCCCCTGAGGAATAGTCTGTGCTCCCTACTCTGGCAAATACAGCAACCAAAATTCTACTGAGGTAATTTCTATCCTTCCTGGCGCCTCTCAAGGACTATCAAAGGGGTCTGAGTGGCCTCCAGACACATTAGCTGTCCACATTCTTTTCCCTCACACTGAAAATCCCACAAGCCCTGTAATTTTCCCAGTGTTTTCCCTAAACATCGTATAATCTGGGCCCTGCCCACATTCCAGCCTTCGCTCACATCCCAGCTGCCTGGTCCTTATTTATGGTGCCTCAGCTCCCCTTGGGCCCATTATTCTCTCAGCCCTAGTACTTTCCTCCATGGTTTCCCAACTTTCCCGTTTTTCAAGTTTTTCCCTCTGCTGATTTACGCAATCAACCTAATGAAGTCCACCAGTTTTCCTAAACAGCGATGGTAGCTAAAAGACTTGGAGACGGAAGACAACTGTTACAATCCATGCAGGCAATAAACACACTCAGACTATCTTTGCCTCCACCCCTGCCATCCAGTCATGCTACACACTGTAGTTTCGAACTGCGATGGAAATCTGGGATCAGACGGCAGGGGCAGGGGCAGGGGCAGCGGCAGCGGCAGGTCTTGAATAAGGATGCTAAGACGGGACCGGGCTCCAGCCCCACCATTTGTAGCGCTTGCCTAGCATGTGTTATACAAGGCCTTGTTTGACCTCTCAACACCACACAAGGCGATGTGAAGAGCAAATGGGAATGAGGTAAACGAGAAAGACTGAAAGAGGTAACGCTGTCTTTGAAACAGATGCAACATTGGGTAAGACCCAGCCGCTGGAGGAAGCCACATTCCGGTGAGGGTGGTACAGGACAGACACCCCCGAGCAATGGACTGCAAAAGGGCGGCCATTGCTCCACAAAGCAATCGTGTGGCCAGCGGGGCTACAGAGTCCCTTGAAACCTCACAAGGACTGAGAGCAAGGCTTTCCCTTTTGAACCCCGTCTGGGCTGTTAGGCTATCGCAACCAGAATTAAGGAAGGGCTCTGTGTGCGTCTCTTGGCTGAACCTGCTAAGTGTCTTTCTGTAAAATGCTTAGGTCAGAAAAGGGATCGTTGCCAGGAGCGTTTTGCTGTTGTAACCACGGTTAATTCAAGTTTCTAATCCTCTGCTCTTCAACTCTGGAAGAGAATTTTGATGCAGAGAGAGATCAAAGTTAACTTGTTGACTTGCGTAAGAGTTCAGGCTGGTGCCCTAGCAACATGGTTTACGGCCTCATCTCCCTATCCATTTTTGGTGTGACTCATCTTGTCTTTGTTCCCTGTTTCTTATTTTCTGCCTTCTTTTGGGTTACATGAATACTTTTATGAATCTCTTTACTCCTTTTGGTGGCCAGTTAGCTAAAACTATTTGTGTTGCTCAGTGCTGGTGATTGCTTTGGGGTTTATCCTAAACGTACTACAGTCTCCCTCAAATGACAATGTATCACTACATAGGTTGCACAAAAACCTTCTAACAGATCCTATCTTCTCCCACCTCCAGACTTCCCTCAAGTCATTGTTGTATGTCTCACTTTGTATTTGCATTTTGCATTATTATAAACTCTCTACACAAAACATTGTACACATTTTCATAGCTTTCTTGTTAAACAGCCATTGATTTTTAAGGAAGAAACTGATCTTTTTGCAGTTACCCGATGTTCTCCTATAAACAAGGCTCTTCGCTCCATTTGTGGGCCCGGGTATCTTCCTAGGATCAGTTTCCTCTGGTGAGATGGAACTGTTTCATCATTTCTTGCACTTCAATTCTTCAGTGATGAGTTATTTCAGTGTTCATGTGAATGAAAGAAACATTATTTCATCTTCAATTCTTAGGGTATTTTTTTTCTTGTTTTTGACATCTAAGTTGCCATTTTCCCCCTGCCTTCATTAAAGATATTGTTCCATTATGAGCTCTCTTACGTTGTTTCTTTTTTGTTTTGTTTTGTTTGTTTGTTTTTGTCTTCAAGACAGGGTTTCTCTGCGTAGACCTGGCTGTTCTGGAACTCACTCTGTAGAAGAGGCTGGCCTCAAACTCACAAGTCTACCTGCCTCTGCCTCCTGGAGTGCTGGGGTTAAAGGCGTGTGCCACCACAGCCCCAGAGGTTGTTTTGGACAAGATGTCTGACACCATTGTTACTCTTGTACCCAGCTGTGTGTACTGCAGTACTGTTTGCTTTTTAAAAAGATTTATTTATTTATTTTTATGTGTGTGTGTGTCTGTGTTTATGTGTGAGTGTTTTGTCTGTATACATGTATGTGCACCATGTGTGTCAGAAGAGGGCGTCAGATACCCCTGGAACTGGAGATAGGGATGATTGTGAGCCATCATGTGGGTGCTGGGAACTGAACCTGGGTCC